GTTTTTCAGCAGTCCCATGTGACATATGGGGAGTGCTGTAAAAAGCAAACAGCTGGGAGTTGTACAGAAATTCAGGACAGAAAACAGAGCAAAAGCAGAGATAGGAAGAATCAGAATCCGATTCCTCTAGTATTCCTGCAGCGAGGAAATCTACAGCGCTACAGCAAAAGTGACATAGATAAAGGGCAAGCAATAAAAAAGAGTAGCTAACATGTTAAATATAGAGAAAATGCACACATTAGAAATAAATAAATAAAAATTAGTACTCATCCATTTAAAACAAAATGAGTAGCAGAATTTAGAATAGGGAAGTGGACATAATAAGGTTTGAGATACTATAAAGATTATTTGCACAGTAGAATTGCGCAAAAAGTGTATATATTGCCCATTGATATATATATCACAAGAGGGAGAGAATATTCGGTACTAGTGCAGAAAAAAGGGATTGAGAAGAGGAAAAGGTAGGAACTAAAAAAGCGTGGGGGAGAGGACACAGAAGTTGCAACAGCTGACTTCACATGGGTTCTTTATGTCCCTGGAGAAGAGGCTGGTTTGTTCACACCCCCCATCTGACAAGGGGACAGAGGGGAGGGCTGGGGGAGGAAAGGAGGGATAAGGGGGGGNGGGGGGGGGGGAGGAGTCCTGTCCAACAGCTGCCTTCATTAACATGCGCACCTGCTCCCTGTGGAGACACTCCAACAGATGCCCTCCCTCACACACACACACACACACACACACACACACACACACACACACACACACACACACACACACACACACACACACACACACTCATCTGCACACAGCTACACACTCACAAGCCCCGATTCAAACATAAACACTTCTTTCGCTGACGTTCAAAGATGACACGTGACACAGAGGACTTCCTGTTATCTTCAAGGATTTGAACTAAGAAGTCGTTTTTCATTATGGATTTGTCAATAGATTATTTTCTAAATGAATCCTTTGGTCTATTTAATAGTCCAAGGAAGACTCATTTGATTTCTTTAAATGTTTTTTATGCCAAATACTAAGGATATTTAACTTAAATAGGACTTAGCTTTTTTGTACAACATTTAAAAAAAAGAACAACAGCAGGACAGCTGATCATCACAGGCTGAAAAGAGCTGTCTGTAGATTTGCATGAAATCACTTGAAGATGCCAAATGCTTTTCTGACAGTTGTTCCGTGCAATTATGCTCCTCCAATGTTTAAGCTGAGTTTTATTGGAGCCAATGTATTACTACCCAGATGCTGCAGAAGAGTGCGGCCGACCTGATTTCTGTGAGTTATGTGACTGTAGCAGCAGTCCATCCTTAGTGTGAATGTGAGGGCTTAGAGTGTGAATGCAGAGCTTCATTTAGGACATCCAGAGCCGGCCCGGACCCTTGATCTCTGCACTCATTCAGGATGAGTGTGGACAGCCTGGGAGGGAAAGGTAGATGGGAACCGCTGTGGACTGTTTAGCAGCGTCTGTTCTCCAACACTGTGTGTTCAGGGTTCTGAGGGAGTCTAATCCAGAGAGACACACTAGATCAACAGGCCGTTCCTGTCCCGCTGCACTGGGACTTTTCTGGGCGGGAAACTTTCCCCCCTCCCCTCCCCCTTATTCCCCCTTTTGTTTGGATAATTGCTCAGAGAGTTATACAAGAAAAAAAGATCCTCGTTTTCTAATCACCATTTCTTCTCCCTTCTCTAAAGACACACAATACAGACTGTTGTGCAATAAACCTGCAAGATAGATGGATAGAGAGATAGATAGATAGATAGATAGATAGATAGAGAGATAGATAGAGAGATAGATGGATAGATGGATAGAGAGATAGATAGATAGATAGATAGATAGATAGAGAGATAGATAGAGAGATAGATGGATAGATGGATAGAGAGATAGATAGATAGATGGATAGATAGAGAGATAGATAGAGAGATAGATGGATAGATAGAGAGATAGATAGAGAGATAGATAGAGAGATAGATGGATAGAGCTTTATTGATCCCAAATTGTGAAATTCTTTTGTTACATCAGCATTGTGTTCAGGCTTTACAATATTTGAAAAATTGAATAAAGTATAAACACAATAGAAATGAAAAATATTAAAGGTAGTGTGTGTGTGTATATATAAACATAGCAAAGGAAGAAAATACATGTATATTATTATATATATTTTAAAAATATATTTATTATAATATATATTATTGGCTTATCGTGTCGATCTTTTTTATATTAATCGTTGGGTCTTTAAAACTGTTCAAGAAAGTCAAAATGTGATTTCTTAAAACGTCTTCTTTTAAATGTCAAAACCCAAAGATATTGAATTCTGTATTTGACAGAGGGCGCTTCACCTTTATGCACAAAAAAGCTAAACATTATTATTATTATTTTTATGTATTGGTTGATTTCCAGATCAATAATCATTTGGTTTAGAAAACTTCAGAAAAAAGTGACAAATATCAATCAATTTTCTCAAGTTCCATAATGATGTTGTTAAATGTCTGGTTTTGTCAGCCCAAAACCCCAGGAAATGGCATTTTATATGATTAAGCAAAGATAAGATAAGGTATACCTTTATTGATCGCTGTTAAAGCGGCCACAGAAGAAGAGGAAAAGCAGGAAAGCTGATCAATTGAAGGCTGATACAAAAAATGTCTGCCGATTGCTGGCTACTATTATTATTTCTTAAAAAGTGTTTTATTACTTATGTGTGCTTTTCTTTTTTATTATTGCTTTTTTTTGTATTCACTGTTAATGTCCCGCTGTGGGACTAATGCAGTGGTTCTCAAACTTTTTCTGTCAGGCCCCCCCTTGACCACAAGAGTTTCACCCCAGCTCTCCGTTACTTTCCGGGGGGGGACAGTACGGTAGACGCGCTCTGTGGGTCCCACTTTGTACAAAACTTTTGCTTTTAGTACTTAAAGCAGTTTAATTTAACTTAAGGCTGTTTATTTATACTATGTCATGTTTCATGCAGGACCCAGAGGACCCAGGTAAGGTTCGAGCCAAGACACACACACAAACGGTTGCTCGGGTAAAGAGCGAGCGCGCCACGGGCTCACTGGCGCTCTCTACGCGTGGCCATGGGGCGGCTCTACGACGACAATCGAGAGAGGAACACGATCCGGCTCGATGCGTTGCGCTATATTCTTGTCGAAGAAGTTGTGTGTTCGCACGCTCCTCTCGAGAGGACAGTCGTGAGCTCACGAGTCCGGACTGTCATGTCCTGAGAGGCCGACGCCAGAGTTTGCAAAACCAGGGCTAATTACATCTTGTTACATAAGGGTTTCGTGGTGGCAAACTATACGTTATGTACGATATCGAACATTTTTTTATTTCTCTTAGTTTATTTTGTCCCATATTTCTATGAGTATACAAATTTTGCCCCTCCACTACCGACATTGTAAGGTAGTTTCTGGTTTCGTTGACGCAAAGTGGGGCCCCCGCTAGAAGGAGCCCACTGCGTAGCGGGGGCTAGGGGGGATAAAGGCCAGGTGGAGGGGTGCAACACATTTGTTGATGCGTGGAGAATTGGGGGGGCTCGAATGGTGGATAAACGGTACGCGTCGGGACTAATGGACGGCTGGCGGGACGCAGTAGACGCATGTGGTCGAGTTGTCCATCGTGCGGCCACCATGGAACGCACCCCTCAGACTAACGTCAGTCTTGTGAAGGTGACTCGGCTGACGGATGGTAATTAGGTCCTTTGGATTTAGGCAAACTTCGTGCGGAGAGTACCTTGGTGCACGGTTCGGTGGGGTGTCGTGGGGTGTTGTATTTAGAAGACCGCCAGCGGTGACTCGGACGTTGGCTAAAACTTCTTTACACGTCACGGTTTGTCCGAGTAGACGTCGGTGTTACGACACTATGTCTGTGTGAAAAAACGGTTTATAGTCGGAAAAAGGAAAGAAACAACAGTAAAAAACGTGTCTGACGTTCACACATTTTACATAATATTGAATAACAATGATCGTTTCCTAAGTGTTAATGCATAATACATAAATAAAAAACTAGTGATGTCTTGAAAACCTCGAACAAAAATATTAGTGACAGATCGTTTCCTTACCGGAGGTCCAAGTATAACTACATAATTATTTCCAATCTGAACGCCGGATAACGCACCTGATAAAAAACAACCCCCCTTGGCGAA